TGTTGCCTCGGAACTGCTACCAACTGGTATCATGGACGGCGCACTGTTTCCACAAATAGATTTTGGGGTTGTACATTGTGTTCTAGTGTGAACGTCCTGAAAGGTTTCCGCTGGACATAAGTAACAGATAGTCATCGCATGATCCAGGTAGTAAGCTTACATGGTAAATGACATACGAATTATTGCCGAGCATGGCAAGCTATATTTTAAATGGTTTGAAGCAGCATCAGCCGAAAACAAAATTAAAATGGTAAGATGAAACTAGGGATATAAGTGGCAAATAAACGACATTCGCCAGTCCCATCTAGTTAGTTTTTGCTAGCTCGCTAGTTCATTTTCCTCAAAAAAAAACTCTTTTGAACTATCATACCATTAGTGGACTTTAATTGGGATTAAACGGGACCCAGTTGACATCCCTAGTTGAAAGACAGTGTAGCACTGCTATATTTAAGTTGCCAAGCCATCTAAGTAGTTGAAATAATCTGAGAAAGCACTTAACAGTATGGCCTCATATAAACTACGAAGATAGTCTTTTGATGAAGTTCATAGGAAAAGTTAAGGAGTCAAATGAACTAGGCATGCATTTCTTTACGATAGTACAATATCCACTGCTGACATATTGGCCAACTCAGGTATAGCCTAACAAGTAACAAACAAGCATTTGAATCAAGCAATACAACAAAGCGGGCAATTGAACTATTTGTAATTCTGTAGGATTACAGGTTGAGGGAACAAGCCAAGAAAGCAGCCCACATCATTACATTTCGCATGTACTAAAACACACTAGCTTACCATATGTTGTTGTGAAGCCTCGCTGCTGTTGCATTGTTCTTTGAAGATATCGTCAGCATCCCGTGGTTGCAAATCTAGTTGTTGTAGTTTATTCTGCACTCTTTATTTAGGTAAAATTAATTTTAATCGCATGAACTGGTTCAAATTGATCATCAATAGTTCAACTAAACTAATGAAAGAAGGATGTGTGCTTACACGACAATATATGTGCTTCACTTTATTTTTATGCTTGTTTGAGGTGCCAGCCCCAAAAGAACAAATATCTTGTTTGATGGGGTTGGCAGCTCCATAATTAATAGAAGCATCAAATTAGTCATGCAACTTAGGAAGATCAAGAACGCACAAAAATATATGAACTGAGGCTCGGAGCAGTGATGTAATAGTTAGCATCAGAAAATGTAGGGTAAAACAAACAAAAAGCAGCGAAACTACATGCTACTTTGCTGATGTGTAAATAAGCATAGAGAACATAAAGCAGTTTGATGCAACCAACACGTGGAATCAGAACAACACCATTATCATAAATATAACATGCAAAAAATAAAATAGTAGGCAATGATATCTAGGAAGTACAGTAATACTTAGGACAAAACAAAAGCATTGTAACTATATGTGCACTGGTTTGTAATTTAGCACATGTAACATGTTCACTGCTAGAACTATGGCCTTACAGGTGCAAACAGAATAACGCGTCTCATGAAAAATTGAATGATGCCCTAAAGAAATTCAAATGTGCGGCGTTTATACTAAGAAAGTGAACGTAGGCGCCGGCCGTTGGATAATAGTACCTGATTCTCGGCGGCGTATGGGTATTGTTGTCATACTTGATAGCTAAGGATCGCCGATGGCGCTCGTGTTGCGGTTGAGTTTGGGCCGGTGTCGGCGTTGCTGAAGCGGCTCCGGTGCTTCGGTTGCGGCGCCTGTCAACATACAAGAAAGCTCATATGTGGTAAGTGAACAGTTCCACGATAAAGAAGAGAAAATCCGAAGGAGTACAAATCGAAATAACCTGATGAGGCTGCGACATCAGTAAAGCAGGGCCGGTGGAGTTGAATATGACGTTCGTGGAGCGGGTCTCGTGCAGTGGACGAAGGCGTCAGCGAAGCACATCCGGCGCGGCGTACAGTGCTTTCGGTGAGGCGGATATGTTGCGGCGGACGAGGGCTTATATGAAGGGCCAGCGATGGGGCAGACGAGGGAGTCGGTGAAGGGCCTACACTGTGGTGGACGAGGGCGCCGATGAAGCAGATCCAGTGCGGTGGACCATGATGGCGGTAAAGGAGATCTGAAGCGGTGGACAAGCCAGTCGCTGAAGCGGCTTCGGTGAAGTGGTGAGTTGGCAGTTGGGGGAGGACTAGATTCGATGGCTTGGCGTGGTTGGGGGGGCGGGGAAGGGGAGGGGCTCTGAGGAAAAATGTTGGGGGCCAAAAGGAGAAAACAATGAAATTACCAAAGCAGCCCTTTTTTGTTTATATGGCATGGGTAAAACAGGAATATCGCATAGTTAAATTTTCGGACGCGAGACATTTCCATCAGGTGCAGATGAACCCGAAGTCAGAATTGGGTATTCGGTTTTTTTAGACATGGATATTCGGTTTTTTAAGCATTTTTGCAGATCGCAAGTGGCCCATTTAAAGTTGGGCTAGACTGGACCTTCTTCTACTAGCCCACAGTCCAGACGAGACGTGACCACTTGTTTATTATCGTCCCATTAGCTCAAAAAGAAAAATCTTGTTATCGTCCCATCGATTCCCCACCAGCCAAGCCCCTCGCTACCTCCGCCGCTCCTCGCCGGCGACATCGGTGAGCGTACGGACCCGCCCGTGGCCCCGAGATACAAATTCCGCCATCCCCGGAGGTCACCTTTCATCACCATCCGAGTTCTGGTGAGCCCGCCGTGTTGAGTAAATAGGCAGTTTTTCGATTAAATTAATCCATGAATAAATCATGAGCATGACATGGACAGCATTGATAACATACTGATTATGATCTAACAGAGCATGTACTACGCATATAGTAGAGACATCTACGCATACCGCTAGTACTGCTACAACAGAAAGAAACACGAGAGGGATAAGCGATGTATACCCTCCAATCGGCCACGCGGTGGCGGTGGCGGTGACAGCAGCCGCGGCATCCTCGGCGGCCTTCTTGTCGGCCTCGGCTTTCTCAGCGGCGGCACGGTCGGTGTCGGTCGACATGGTGATGATGAAGGTGATGCGGACGTAGATGAACAGAAGCGAGCAGTCGCGTAGTCGCTACCCAAAAACCTAATCGCCCCTCTCCCCGTACAGGATCCGGAGAGGCGTGGTTTCGGAGGCCTGCTCTCCCGTCAACCGTGTACGCGGTGAA